ACCTTGTTTCGAAGTTTGTCCGTGACACGACGCTACCCCGAAGCCCCATCCCCCCTGGTGCCACCTAGGTGGTTCCAGGGTGCTGAGATGGCTAACATTTCATGTGCAGCAACGATTTGCAGAAAACAGGCCGTGACATACGAAAATGGAGCCTTTTTGGGGCAGTTTTGGTTGGCACGGCGAGCGGTCGCACTGTAGCACTACAACCTGTTCGAACTTACATTTTTACAAGTAAAAACACACAAAACCATTACAAAACATGCTGCCAAGCATCTGTATAAGTTTGCAAAAGTGATGAACGGTTCGTTGAACAAAGTTATTGTGGGTGTACGATGACCGTTCGTGACAGTCCGGTACTCATGCAAATTCATTGCTTAGAATAACATGGCAAATGACTAATGATGTGAAAGTTTAGAGTTCATAACATACATGCTTGGTAAATTTGCCCACATGATAAAGCCCAGAATATGTCACTAGTTAACAATCATGTGAACTTAATAGGCAGAGATTAAAAACCCACATGATGCAGGTAGTGATGAATATGACACAACACAGTTCAATCAACTTATAGAGGCCAGGGAAGGGTAGATGGTGCAAGAGTCAATTGAAGTGTAAAACCAAATATCATTCTCTTTTCTATAACTATGGTTCCGGAAATGAAGAGCATGCCATTGAAGAAGAGACTGCTGCAGATAGTGAGAAGTTTATACTACATAAAAAATAAAAGGTTCTCAGCACAAACCATTACAGAAGTGCATTACATTAATTTGTAAACACGAAAATGATTAAACGTAATGCGGTAAGTAACTACATAATTCATCAAAAGCAAACAAAACAAGGAAATTTTATATATCTTGTAGTCATGCACTCTTTAAGATCTGACAGTAAAAGTTAAACAAAGAACACTCAATATTGTACTACTTGAAGTTCCAAGACTAAACTTATAGTTTGTGGCAATGTCACAATTGATTATGGATGTTTTAAAATCTGTAGTTTGACAGAATACTATGATCCTGCATTACCATAGAAGAAGAATTTTACATGACACACAGGGAATGGAATTTAAAACTCTTTACTGATTTTCTAAAGAGCAACCACAGAAACAAGATGATATACCTTTTTAATAGGTGCTAGTTCGAGGAGTTCTTTGAGGGAAGCAATCATCCCTTGGACACTAAGTTTTGGCACTGCCAATCCAAAGTCAAGATAGATCTATTTCCGAAATGTATTAGTAAACTGCAAACTAAAGTAATGAATTTTAAAGTTATAACTCCGGTAAATTGTCAAACCTGGGAATAAACTGAAGCAAGATAAGATGCTTCTTTCGAAAATGGATAAGATGCATGCAGCAGAACAATCTGAGATTTGGAAAATCTCTTGTCCTCGAGAACCTTTCTCAGATGCAGGGGGTTGGATTGCCTTAGATCCAGATCCTTGTCTCCAAAGCTGAAATTCAAACAAAAGCTGATTTATTTCTCCAAGGGCTATTAAATTTCAATATAGCAAGTGCTTGACTAGTTGTAGAGCACATTGGCAGAACACATGAATCAACACTTAAATGCTAATCTCTATTCTTAGTATAAGGCACTGTGTGGCACTAGAAGAATGAGAAACATTCAAATGGGTAAAGAGGAAAGATATTAGAAATCAAGCACAATATCTAATATCACTAAGAGACTAGATTCATGAGTTATTTATAGAACTATAAAACATAGCACTGTGTCATGCTCGCAATCAGCATATGCAGTTTATGTAAAATTGATAAAACACAAAATCTTTAGCAGTAAATTAGAAATTTATAGATGGCAAGTTCTGTTTGCTTTTTACCCTGTGTGGACTTGCATAGGCAAATCAAATGACGTAGCAACTTCCAAGCTACATATAAACAAAAAGTCAATGAAGCTCTTATTCTTGATACGGACAGGTCTACCAGCTGAAAAAATTGTGAAAACAAAGTATTATCTTTAGTTAAAAAGTTCACCATACATATTCCAAAAAGACATGGATCTAAAACTTATTTCCCTATATTTACCATTTAAGTCTGCGAGAAGACCCTTCTCAGCATCTGCTTTGCTGACCTCTGTATCTATTTGTAGACCACTTCTATAAGCAGCAATGGTTTTCATGGCAACAATTTTATCAGCAACTGTAATTTACAAGCTTAGGAAAAAAAAACCAAAATAGGAGCATCCTGTCACAAGAACAGTGCAGGCACACAAATATAGAGAGTGCAAAAACAAAAGATATCATTTACAAAAAAGGATATGATTTCATCCTTGTTAGAAAAGTTTCAATGAACAAATCCATGGTCCACCTTGATGTATCGTAAGCCTCCTGCAAAATGTCGCTTTCAGCATACTAAAAAGATTTAAATCAAGCCATGGCACGAAAAATAAGGTCATAAAGATAGAAGGGCAATGATAGTAACCATAGAGGAGGATTAACATTAACAAATATAGTGATGACCATGAAAATAAAGTCCCTAGCACTTTTTGTAATATTTATATAATTGCAGCTGCCAAGTCACATTAAGCCTTGGAAGTTAATCAAGGTAAAACACTTTAAATCTTCATTTCAGTACTAGCCAGACACATCCAACAAAATGTGCAGAAATTAAATATAATGTTTATGTTTAGGTTCACACATACTGAGAGCTCTTTAAGTTGACTAGAACAGATCGTGCTACTATCCAACAAAAGGTCCAATGGTCTTTTCATAGCTCATGTCTGTATGCTTATAACTCCAAGCTTAGGTTTTTCTGGGCAATCAACAAAAGAACCACAATAGCTTTAAGTTTACAAAAAGAAAAAACTTGATTACAATTTACAAACTATGAAATAATAGCAAATCATGAAACAGTTAAAAGACTGAATAACAATGAACTACAACAGACCAACTGATTTTTGGGGCAGCAGGATAGAAGAAAATAACAGATGAGGAATTCTCACATCATTAAGAATTGTTTCAGCCAAGTGCTCAATCCTCAAAATTCTACCAACTGCAGGAGCAAAAGACTTATGCCACTCCAAGTCACACATTTTATCAAACAGAATTCCATCATCAATAAGAACAGCAGATACATTGGCAGCTTCAAAGCATTTTGCAGTGATAGAAAGTAATCCAGAGGATTTTCGGTGGCTTTCCAGTTCATCCAGTGAAGCCCTGCAATTGTATAACGCAGCTATATCCCTCAAACTCCTCTGCAGTGTAGGACATGAAAAAAATTTGTTATATTCAGAAGCTACTATAAGTCTATTACTATTGAATTAATGAATGCATGATAAAAGGTCCATTAGGCATTTCTGTATGTCTATCCTGCAAAAAAGATATACATCATATTTGCAGAAGACTATTAAATTCATACATGATTTTCTACTTCATAGCAAGCATCAGACATCTGATGTGGAATGATAGCCATCAACAGCCATTTATGATCCCTAATCTGAGTAACATATGATTCATTATGCACAAATATTGAGGATGAAAATCTATATAGGTTTCTGATGTGCTAGCAAATAAATTTCCAAAACAAAACTTCAGAATTGCTAAAGAATCAATTCAAGGTTACATAGTCATTATACCAGAGAAGGCAAATTTTAGTAAATGCCCTCACACTAATCTCCAAAGTTACAAACATCATAGATTCCCTCTATGGTTAATAAGCTTTCATGAACAACATTTTCCTCCAAGGAGATGAATTACACGAATACATATTCCAACTTAAACATTTGTGTATATGAAATAATGGGATATATATATATATATATATATATATATATATATATATATATATATATATATATATAGT